CTCCAGGCGCCCCCCCCCCCTTTTACTTCAGTGTCGAGCTTGTCCCCTTCCTCTTTCTTCCCGTTCATCCTGGCCACTTTCTTGAGCTCCTTCAGGGCCTGCTTAGGCTTCCCGGCCATAAGCAGCCAACGAGCCGACTCTGTCAGCCACCTGTGGAGGAGACGGGGACAGAGGCACCCTGCAAGGTTCAGCCCTGGGGCAACGTTCGGGCACCCGAGAGCGGGTCAAACATCGAGGCAGGTCCCCCTGCCATGGGTGCTCCAAGTCGGGGGGGTCTTCACTGGGGTGAGGAGAGGGGATTTGGCAGCTCCCTGGCCACCTCCTTCCATCCTGTCTTCCAGCCAGCCAGCCAGCCAACTCTACACCCATCCTTGCGCCCCCCTCCTTCCCTCCGTCAGTCCATCCGTCTGTGCATTCATCTTCCTTTCCATCCATTCATCCGGCCAGTTGCTCTTCCACCCACTCATCCATGCCCACCTCCATCCATGCACCCCCAATACTAATCCATCCAAACATCCGTCACACCGGCCACCACCCACCCGCCATCCATCCCACCGTCCATCCATGCACCCCCAACATCCATCCATCCATCCATCCATTCATCCGCCCACCCACCCCACCATCCATTCATGCACCCCGCCATCCATCCAACCATCTATCCAGCCATCCCACCATCCATCCATGCCCCCCAACATCCCTCCATCCACTCACCGTCCAGTCCATCACCTAACCATGCATCCCACCATCTGTCCATGCATCCCAGCATCCACCCATCCCACCATCCCTCCACCTCAACATCTATCCATGCACCCCTCCATCCTCCCCCCCTCACCAGGAGTAGAGGAAGAAGACAAAGAATGGCAGCGAGACGGTGAGCTGCAGCCAGCGCCAGTCACGGATGGCATAGGGCCCCCCGGCCAGGAGGAACTGCCCCACAGTGTAGCAATACCCCATCGTGGTCCCCACAATCGCCCGGGTGTGCGTGGGCATCCACTCCAGGCCTGGGGAGGAGACAGGCATGGTTTGGGGCCGGGCGGGAGGTCATCAGGGGGACAAAGTGGGGCCGGGGGAGCCACATACAGAGTGAGACGCTGTTTAGGACTATGCCGGAGAGGGCTGCACCAGTGAGGAAGCGGAAAAGGCAGTAGACGGGGAAAGTGGGCGCGAAGGAGGTACACGTCCCCATGGTGCCCATCTGCAGGTAGCACCAGGTCAACAGCGACCGGCGGCCAAACCTGGACGGTGAAGAAAGGACGGGAGAAACAAATGAGGTGGAAAAGCCTGGGCAGACGGGATGTCCCTCCTCGTGGTGGGCCAGGGAGGACTCACCTGTCCGAGAGGCCCCCGAAGACGATGCCGCCCACCAGGACGCCGGCCATGAAAAGCGACTGGGCCAGCTGCTTCAGCCCCCGAGAGTCGCACACCAGATCCCACTGCCGAGGAGAAAGGTGGGAGAGAGACTGGGATGGGGGCTGCGTCCCACCCTCCCTTGCTGGTGCCAGGAGCGTTTGGTGGGATTGACTTAACTCAACGGCCAACCAAGGTGCTGGTAAACCCTTGGCCACCCTTCCCTGCACCATCACGGTTGGAAGACACCTTCGAGGAGTCATCCAGGCCCTTTTGGACCTGCCATTGAGGGCTGTTGACTCCCTCACCCCTCTTTCTTGACCCAAGTGGTGGCAGCATTGAGTGCCTCCAGTCAAGGGAAGATGCTCCTGTTGGAAGATGCCCAACATAGGGTTAAGGGTGCCTCCCGGGGCTGTCGTACCTCAGTGATGATGGTGCTGGTGAAGACGCTGCGGTCATAGGTCCAGCCGTCACGGCAGGGCTCCGTCTCCGGCTCAGTGCTGTTGGCGAACGTGCCGTTGGCCTCCAAGAGCCACCACTGGGCTGCAACAAAGCGCCGACACTGCTCGCCGCTGGGGACGGAGACTCGCAGAAGGTCCCCGGGGCTGAGGCTGGTGCCGTTGGCCTCCCAGTGGACTCGGCAGCGGTGCTCGCTGGTGGCGGCAGTGAAGTTCTGCAGAAGGTTGTGGCTGGCCATCATGAAGACGGGCAAGGCCAAGAAGACCACGTAGGCCACCTGGAAGCGCCCCATGCCCCCGACGTGGTCCAGGAGGTCGGCGAAAGCCATGGTGCCACCTCAAGACCCCTGAAACACCGCGTTAGGGGCTGGTCCCGATGCCACCGGGGATGGGCTGCAGAGCCCCGGGGTGCCTCAAGCCAGCCCCGGATTTTGCCAGCTTTGGGCGCTTTCATGCAAAGCCCACCCCCTCCTGCAAGCCGCAGACCCTGAAAGCGAGAGATTTCACCCCAGAAATGCTCTGCGCTCGCTATGCAAGGTCTGCGAGGCTCCCGCGAGCTATATAACCCTGCAAACAGCCCGGTTTGGTTAAAGTTTGACTCATTTTTTTTCTTTTTCTTTTTTTTTCTACCTGGGTTAAGGCCAAAAAAAAGGTGCAGCACCCAAACGTCCCCGTGCCACCGAGCATCTCCCGTCCGTGGCCAGCCAAAAACGCTAGGTGGGGATGAGCCCCATCATCCTCCCTGGCGTGGTCTTTGTGGGAGCAAAAAGCCCCTGAAGCGGGGAAAAAAAAAAAAAAAAGGGGA